TTCTTATTTATTACTGGTGATTTGCTTTATCAGGGATTTCCATGTCATGGTGTCTCCTTTGAAATAATTTCAAAATCATTATCTCTCTAAGGCTGTTTCAAGCAACATCACAGAAACCTCCCATAACCTGTTTTCCTACTGGAACTTTTATCTTTCTTGATTATCAGCTGTGTTCCCATGACAATTCTTGCACTCACACATCCCAGAATTAGCTCCTAACACGTTCCAGCCTGATGGTACATCAAGCCCACTCAGTGCTTTGGAAGCTACATGTACGCAGTAAGCTCTGAATATATGGGGAAAGAAAGGTCTCTAATGTGGGTATTAAGACTTACATTTATGATTGAAAGATGGCAGAAAGGGTGGACAGAAGGGAGTGGAAGTAGTAAAAGACACTCAGGTTTACCTCCAAAAAAAAAAGTTGGGGATAGGAAAACATCTATGTAATAAGCATATAGCTTTGGTGAAATGGAACACATGCTTAAAAATGGCTTGTCAACTTCACTTCAGTCAGATGGTAAAGCAAAAAATGAATACATCTGTATTTTGAATTAACTTTCCTGCAGCTTTCCATCATTGAACTCTCAGTTTTCCTGTGAGCTTACTATTTCTGTCAGGTGGCCAGGTGTCATTTCCACTTTAAATGCTGCTGCATGGCTGGATGCATTCCAGTTGCAGATCTACATACCTTTTTCAAGACTGCAACAGTCATCTTAGCCAAAACCTCAGCAAACGCTCGAAGAGCATACCTTAAAAAAAAAAATTGCTACTTGCCATACATAATGTTATATATATCATCCAGCAGTCCAGCAGGACCAGTAGCCAAGAAGGCAGCATCTGGATGTTCTACTACTGCAAGCTAAGTCAAGGACCACTGACAGAAAAGCTCAAGGCAGGCTCTGGTTTGGCTCCACCAGTGCTGTTGGTTTGTTGGGAAAGCCACCATTGCTCTCCCACATCTTGTGGCCAGCTCTAATGTTTCTCAGCCAAGGCATGATGAATTCCAGCCAGCACTCCTGGCAGATCTTTATGCCAGAAGTTACAGCAAACCAAAACTTCCAGCAGAACTTGTTCAGCTTTAATACAGCTACCCAAAGAGCTGCTGACTAACTTTTTCTGCCAGTAGCTGGAGTTCACAGATGAAAGCTGCTCTGCAGCTTCTTAAGTGTGTTTGCTCCCAGCTTGTTCTCAAGAAGCTCTCCAGACTAGAGAAGTAAAGCTCTTCAACTTGTCTCCATCTGAGAACAGCCTACCATCTCACCATCTGTCACAACAGCATTTTCTAACATTTTCTTCTCCCTTTTGGTGCTTCTTACACCCTTCCAAAGTTTGCCCTCTGGCATTATCTGAATGGCACAGCAGTGTCAAGCCATAAGAAACACACCTGGGAACACTTGCATTTATGGAATATCAGAAAGTCTCTTTACTCCCAAGTAATCGCCTTATCTCACTCAGTAAGGTGGTACCTCAATGGTTAAAAAAAAAAAAAAAAAAAAAAAAAGCTTGTAATGCAAGCATAGTTACCAAGATAGCAGGCAATTGCATTTTCTCCTATAAGATAGTACTCTGCTTCACTGTTTGAACAATTCTCTGAGCTTTCAGCTGCCTTCAGCTTTTATAAGATATATTATCCAAAGAAAGTAATTTAAAGATGCACAGAAATTTTAAGGTATTGTTTGCTTTAATCACAGCCTCAGCGCTATTAATGCTTTGATTTCAGAGAAGTTATTGCAGAAGTCTATTTTTGCTATGCAGTTTGTACAAACCTTCAATAATATAAAATTTAAAGTAGAAATAATACATTCAAGGTCAAGAGTGTCTTTCTGAGGGGTCACCTATATTAGTAATATTGTTCTCATTCTGACAGGATCTCTGTCACAATACTAATAAAAACATTACTGCCTATAGCACCAGCTCCCATCACCATTTTAATGAGAGCCTTTTTGTTCCTTGGTGGAAAACCTCACGACAGCATCTATCCATCTCCATAGGGATATAGTTGCACAAAGAGGTTCCTAGTTGTTTCTCCGCCTCTCTCCAATTTCCCAACAGCCCTTCCACCAATTTAGAGTTGCACAGGCACCCTCCAAGTCTCTGTGCTGAACAAAGGGGTGGCCAACAGCCATGCCCTGCATATCTACAGGCTGAGCACAGGAGGAGACCATGGGAAGTGGAGAGGGAAAAACATTGCATTATTGTTGCCATAGAGACAGGAATTAGCACAATAACTATTGTGTTGTGTTTTAAAGCTCCCTGGTCTCCAGTTTTAACTCCTTCCCCCAGCTCCACCACCACTTTTGCTCTGTCCCAGCAATATCCCACCACACCTGACAGATTTCTGGGTCAGAAACTGGAAATGGAGTGGCAGAATAAGAACACGAAGTCTGGTTAGGGACCAGGAAAAGAAAGTGTGGGAAGGCCTTGTAGAAAGAGGAGATCATAAAGTGTTATAAAACACAGGGACACACAGAACTGGGTTCTGGAGATGGCATGGAAACGGAAGATGGGAAATATTTTAGTATTGCACTGTTACCCTCTACCCTTCTTTAGAGGAGCTCTGCCCCTCATGGCAAGCAAAGCAACAGCCTGTACATCACTTGGCAGTATGAACTGGGACTGTCGCTTTCCCTCCTGTATGAAATAGCCTCCCCTTTTTCTTCAGCACTGAGGAAAAAAAAATATCTTCTAGTAAGCAAATCACATTTTCTTGTGGAAGGAATAACAAACATCTGTATGAATTTGATAGTTTTAAAGTTTTTCACATCCACTATTTTACTTTCAATTAAATGGTTGGACCATTTCTGATGGGTCTGATGTTCCAGTGCCCTAAAACTTGTACTGTTTATTATGTTTGAGCTGTTGTTGACATAAATTCAACACCCTTCTGTAAAACCACCCATGCTCTAAATATGCAGAAACACTGGAAAAGCATTAAAAGGGAATAATAAAGATTCAGTTCTGAAAACTATGGGGACAAGGAATTTCTGATCCACTAGGCATCGCAATTAACTACAGGTGCTGGAGGCAGCTTCACTGGCTGTGTAAAGCATCTCTGAAGATCTTTTGCCTGCCAATAATGGTGTCTCTTGCTGCCACAGCCATCATGCAAAACCCAGCAAACAAGCCTTGCTCAGCTACCTCCGGCTCTGCATTATGCACCACCCTTTGTTCTTTCAACCTTCCAAAACCACTCTCCTCTGCAACCACAGGAACCACAGCTGAAATCTTACTTCACCTAGCAAGTGAAAGACATCATAAAGCAGCAATGCAGAGGATGAAATTTGCTTTCCAGGACAGCAGTGGCATGCCTGGCCCTGCCTAGCCAGCCCTGCCAGGGAGCAGGGCTCCAGCCACAGGAAACGTGGGCTGTGAAAAGGGCACAAAATTTGGCTGGGGGGTGTTCACACTTAGCCTTGTTGTTTTATATCCTTCATGCTGCTTCACACCCTTTCCTGAAAATTAATACTGCTTTTCTGAACCCAGGGAGCTGAGCTACTGGAAGTTCATTTGGTGCAGGTAGAATTCAACAAAATCATCTCCTTAGATTTCATCCTCCTTTGTGCAAACTGACAAAGCAATTGGGTCTTCACAAGCCACCTGGCTGTGCAATTGCAAATACAGACAGCAGCATCTCCACCATGAGGTCATGAAAGATCTCACAGAATCACTTTTCCTCCCTGCTGGCTGACAACAGCCTGAAAATGGGGAAAGTTTGCAAAATACAGGTGAATAATACAACTGACTTGTAGCTTCTACTACTGCCCAGTACCAGCATTCCTAGAGTTTACTGTACAGTTTCAAACCTTCAAACCTTCCACCTCCTCACCATTACTATTCATAATAATACCCATACTAGCCCTCCTTCCAGCCCTCACTATTTGGGTACCTCTTCCCCTCCCGTTTTCTCTAGTAGATTTAAACCTTGGGGTCCTCTTTATAGTGGCCATATCAAGGTTGGCCATCTACTCAATTCTATGATCAGGCTGAGTGGAAGGAAAAGACAAAGAAAACACCACCACAAATTACTTTTTCACCTGTGACAGGAGATAATGCTATAACACTAACCTCTGGTGTCATGCAATGGTGTCAGACACACTGCTGCACAGATTTAAAAGAGTAGTGAGAAATGAACAAATGTGGTTGTTAGTTACTGTACAGAAGTTTTCAAACAAAACCATATTTTTTAATAACTTGTTCTCATAGGCAGGCCTTCAAAATAATGAAAATGAATGCTTTAAAAGTAAGGGAGAATCTTCATTCCTTTATTATCTATACAGTATATTTTGTAGGAGCAAGAGAAAGAAGTCCAAAAGCAGAGCAATGTTCAGTGGGGCTTTCAATTCCACCCTCACTATCTCATGCTTCCATCCCCTCCTCCCTTCTCCAGACTTGCAAAAGAAAATACCATCTGACCAAAAGTCCTATACCTGTTACTTCTGTAGACAACTCCCTTGTCTTGCTGGTGAAGACCTATACTTTTTAATACAGCATCAAATAGGAAACACCTTTCTGAGAAAACTTCAAACTAGGCATAAAACAAACAGGAAAAATGTTCTTTCGAGCTCAGGAGGTTAAGGAAAAGTTCATGGCAAATCAACGCTTTAGTTCCATCTTTCTTCTCCAGTCAGCAAAGCATCTGACTACTTTATTATATGTTTTTTATAAAAAGTTGTCTCAGTAGTAAATAAAGAATTTCAACCTGAAGCACAACTGCACTCTAGAATGACTAAAGTCTGAAAACATGGGAATCATGGAGGTGGGTGAGGACCATTGCTAACAACCCTATTCCCTGAAAATCTTTTTTCATGAAATGTAATAAATAAAATTATGACAAATAACTACAATCTTCTAACTCTCAAAACAGTAGGATGGGGAGAAGCAGTGGGGTGTAGATTTTGCTCACCTGCCAACAGTGCAGCATACAAAAATGCCATTGTGAAGTTCTAAAATCACAGTCAAGAGAATCACTCAACAGTCACCTAGCTGGGAAATAAATTTACCTGCTTAACTCTCTGGTGGTGCAGTAACTTTGAGCACAGTTTGAAATCATCTGTATTTCTACTGCATTTTCCTGTTATACTTCTGAAAGATGGGCTAATGAACTCCTTTATTTTGTGAACCCTAAAGAAAAACAAGGGATTATAAATATTTTTATTTTCCTGTGGTTCCCTAACCTTTATTGATTTCTAAGAATTTTATGTCTTTATTGTGATTTACTTAGCGTTATCCCTTTTTTTTTTTTTTTTTTTTAAATCATAAGCATAATAAAGTTTCTGAATAACAGAGAACATTCTATGCTTCCATTCAGAGGTCACTTCACAGATAAAACACTAATATGAATCCCTAGATTATTTAAACACTTCATCTCACCAAAAGTTAATGGGACTTAAATACCTAAACTAAAAAGATTAAAATAAATAAAAATAAATAAATGTCACAGTAGGCTGGGACTATGCTGTGTTTTGCAGATATTGTTTGTAACCAGGTGGTCTCACTGAGATATGTTTGGTTTCCCTCTAACATCACAGATGGTACTTATCACTCCATCTAATTTTGTTCAGTGATACCATTAGCTAGTTAGTACATCTTCTAGTGGTGGACTTGGCAAGTGCTAGGTTAAAAGTTGGAGTAGATGATGTTAAAGGTCTTTTCCAACCTAAATGATTCCATGATTCTATGATCTTCATGGTGTGAATAAAATTAAGCCAGACATCTCAAGAACCTGGGCATCATCTGTATTAATAAAGCTGTATTTCACAAGATTTCTTTATACCTATTATAAGCATGAGCACAATATGGCCAAAGCAGGGGAAACTTCCACACCTTTAGCCAGGGCCAGTTTGGGCTATTTGCTGTGTTGTGAAATGGCTCAAATGGGTCACACAAATGGCCTGTTACATGCAAAGCAATGCCTGGTTCCGTGGCTCTGAGTGATGACTGAGTGCGAAACTGCAGAGCTTCTCAGGGTACTCCATCTCATCCACATTAGCTTTGTCTTGTAGGAAATACACTACTCCTGGTCCTCAGCTGTTGCTAAGAATGCCACCTAATGGTTAATAAAACTGTCCGTGGTGATGTAAAAATAAATAAATAAATAAATAATAGTGGTTTGGAAATCAAGGCTGAGTAATATTAGTTCAAATCTTGAACAGAGTCATGTGATACCATCCAGTGGAGACCTGCAAGATGGTAACAACTCTGTTGTACCTTCTAAAGAGCACAAGGTACTTAGCAAAACAGGTGAAGCCTTTTGTACATAATGGCACACAGGGCATAAAGCTTTGCTGGCATCTATTCGCTGACATGTTGCAGCAAGTGCTGCACTTTGATTGCAGTGTTTTTCAAGCCCATTTTTATTTTCCTTTCCACTTACCTTTGAAGCTTTGATCACAATGCCGTACAGCTAAAGACACCTGAGAAACAGATTGCTAAGCAACAGATGCTGCAAAGGACAGCTTCCTCTCCCTCAGTGCTGAGATGGCAAGAGACCTTGCGATGCTCAAAGTTGCCTGTTGCAAAATATTCACAACAAAAATGGCTTAGTGTTATTCAGGCAATCAGGTGAAGCAAGAAATGACTTTTCAAGTAGGAGTTAAACAGGAATAAGGAAAAGAGACAGTTCAAGGAAATAAAAGAGAAACATGATGGAAGGTTACAAAAGGCTACATGAAATAAGGAGGTGTTTTGAGAAGAAAACAGATACAAAGGAGATTTCAAAACCTGTACAACAGCATAAAATATATATGAACTTAATTTACCATCATTCTTATAAAAGTTTGTTTATTGTGGAAATTCTATTTAGCGTTCATTTTATACCACACTATCAAAAAATATGCCTACCAACTAACCTTACTGTTGTATTTTCCTTCAGAATTACCAAAGAAAGAACTTTATATAATTTCTACACTTTTCATAAATGTTATCCATGGAGTAATAGAAAAGCTTATTTTGATCACCACTTGGGAGAGAATGCAGAAATATACATGACCAGAGACCCAAGTTACATAATCTTTATAGAAGACAAATGGGTACCTCAAAGGAGGCTGTAGCGAGGTGGGGGTTGGTCTGTTCTCCCACATGCCTGGTGACAAGATGAGGGGGAATGGGCTTAAGTTGCGCCAGGGGAGTTTTAGGTTGGATCTTAGGAAGAACTTCTTTACCGAAAGGGTTGTTGGTACATTGGAACAGGCTGCCCAGGGAAGTGGTGGAGTCACCATCCCTGGAAGTGTTTAAAAGATGTTTAGATGTAGAGCTTAGAGATATGGTTTAGTGGGGACTGTTAGCGTTAGGTCAGAGGTTGGACTCGATGATCTTGAGGTCTCTTCCAACCTAGAAATTCTGTGATTCCGTGCTTCCACCCAAAATATAATTTGGAGGCCAATGTATACATTCAAGATGGGATACTTGACAATGCTAAGCAAGCAAAAGGTTGTGTCTGTCTTACAAGAACTTCTTTCAGGATAGGAAAAGCAAGGGGATAAAGTAACCTGATCTGGAAGTACAGTATAGTACTGCATTTAGGAAGTGTGCTTTCCTTGTCTAAATCCTAATTTGCAATTTTAAATGTGTAAATAGGCTTGCTTAGTAAGAGAAGCAGTGGCAACACAAACGTGTTTTTGTTGTTGTTGTTTGTTTGTTTGTTTGTTTGTTTTAATGCAAAACCAACAAGAAAGTACTGAGCAGCCACAACAGCTGAGTGTTAGAGATGAACAAATGCAGACATACAGTGAAAATTAGGCTTTGCAAGGGATATTAAAACAAACAGGGGGAAAACAGAGTTGCTATGCAGGAAAAAAATGGAACAGATTAAAGATAATCTAGGCACAACAAAAAACTAAATACTCTGCCTTGTTTCAAATCAAAGGAGATGTTGAGCATGGAACAAAAGGCATAAGGCTAACAGGAATCAGGTTGGGGGATTGTTAAGGAGCTTATTTGGTCTTTTGAGACCAAATAATTTTCACAGCAGAATTCTGAAAGAACAAGACTTACATGAATATACAATTGCGAAGAGGTTGCTGAAAGACTGTTTCAGCTTGCCAAGATAATGGCTGAGAGAAGGAGAGGGATTCTGTTCTGTCTGTAAGTGTATCACTGCAGTAAAAAACAGAAAAGGGAAGGAAAATGAAAAAAAAAATATATATATATATATATATATAAAGAAAATGGCTAAAGGGCAAACATGAGAGCAAACATCCTGAAGTTAGAAGAATGTTTCTACCTTCAAGGCAACGAAGTTTGGGAACAATCTTCCAAAGAGAGTGACTGGCACAAAACTAGTTAGAAGTGGAGACTGATCACAGTCTGGAAAAAGGGTTTAGTGACAAATTTGCCTGAGGTAGGTAGAAGAAAGAGCATTTCAAGTACTTTTTTCTATCCATTTCTCTCTAACCAAGTCTCTGCAATTCTTCCATGATGTCCTAGATGTTTCATTATGCCTGTTAGATAATATTCCAGCATGGAGCAACAATCTTTTGTTGTGTTAATATTATCAGTCAGTTTAACTACCTTCCGTTTTGCATATGTCTCACTCCAGCAAAATATATGCATACACACACTGACAAACTCCCCACACGAGGTACACATTCTCTCACAAGACAGAGCTTTATTTTCGACAAATCAGCACAGTGTGCACTCTTCCAGTTCTGCCAGTTTTTCCTTGAGCTGAGAGAGGAAATGGAGAAGCCATGCCCTGCCTTCTCTAACAACAGCTGAATTTCCTCAGTGGCTCAGCACACATGTAATCGACTGCATCCATGCTGCCCAAAGCAGACACACATTTAAGGAAAAGCAACCAAGGATTTCCCCTCAATCCATTACCTTAAAACTTTAGCAGAGTTTATTCAAAGCCTGTCAAAACCAAAACAAACTATTGATACTATTGCAATATAAGAACAGAAAAGAAGGCCCAAGACTTTTCAGATAATTACTTCTATGCTTTTCAGGTTTGGAGTGAGTGGGACATTCCTTCAACAGGCTTAAGTAAGCCTAAGTACATGTTTTGTTTGTGAATTGTTCAGACCTTTTGTTTTGTTTTTGCCACTGACACACCACCTTGATAAATCCTTTTTTACGTTTGCACCAATATACCTGTTTAAACCACATATTTCAAAAACATACTCTTAAGGTTTCTTATTAAAAATCCTTCCAACAGTCTAAGAGGAAAAGAAGTCTGCAAATGAAGTAATGTTAAATATTCTATTTTTGGAAAACTGGAGTGCAGTGCCAATTAGCCTGCAGTAGTCTGAAGGCAAAATTCCCCAATCCCCTACCAGCCAAGGTCACCAAAGCTGTTGCACATATGATAACACAACCTTTTACTGCACATACACATTTAAAATAATTATTTTGTATGCCAAGCTGTATCATCTTCTTTTAAGTTCATTTCCAGTGAGTAATGGATGGCTCTAAATCCAATTTAATCCATTTTTGCCATGCAATTTTCTGCAATGTCTACTATTTTCAGAGTATATTACATCTTCACTACTTCTGAATGTATCTTATTAAGTAGCAATTGCAAATATATGTATCATAAATTCCAGTTCTGTAATTCCTCCTTTTAGTCAAATCTAACTTCCTTCACTCTTGAAAGCACAGAGAAAAAAAAACAAAAACCTGCAGAACAAACATACATTTCAATTGGACTCCATATAACAGTCACTGAACAAAGACATTTAAGAAATAACCTGTATTTATTTGTTCCTAAAACCAATTCTCTTTTCTACTGACTCCTTTTAATGCATTCTGCCTTTACAAAAAATGATATATAGTTATGCAATTCAGTTTGATGACAACTTAAAAAAAAAAAAAAAAAAAAAAGAAAAAAAAACACATTGGAAATTAAATTTGCTAGCATTTTTTCTCATCCTCAGAAGATCAGTTTGAGGTATTTGAGTAGTATTTGAAAAACCTCTACAAACCTGAGTTAAAAAGAGAAACAAGAGAGCGGGGGATTCTGCAAAGCCCAGGAGCACCCGCTCCACTTCTTCCCTAGCTGAAATGTAGAAGGGCTCTGGAGGGATGCCAAGACGTTGTTATCCTTAGATCCCACACGCAGGAGGGGTTTGGGTGGTTTTGTTTGTTTGTTTTCACAGTCTCCATATGAAGTTCTTCCAGCTTATGTGAGACCAGTTATTCAAATGGGGAAAAGATTCAACTTTAAGAAAATTCTTACATTCATCTGATTAAAAAAATCTTAAATCTGGCTACTTCACAGACACTAAGCCACTTATGTTAAAGCTGTTTTTTTCTGCACTTCTGCTCCACAGAAGGGACAGGCTGTTTGTCAACAGGTTTTACTACATTGTTTTTGAAGGGGTTCTGGACCTGAGCATCCCATTCTAACCAGCTCAATCACAATGAAACCAGCAGGAGAGCATGGTAGTGTTTTTTCCTTTCGTATAAATGACAGTTCAGCCTATAAAGTGGCCATAAAAGCAGCAGGCAGGAACTTTATAAATTCTTGTCTGTCAGTTATTCCCATGTCAAGTATACATTATTTGCAAGTTAAACTTATTTTGTTTTCTGCAATCTGCCAGCTCTACAAACTCAAGCTGACAATCAAGCAAAGTTCTTCTCATGCATAATTACTGTTAACGAAGAATCCTCTGGCCAAATTGATTCACTGACGCTTAGGCATTTTGTTTCCTGTCAGCATTTTTTATTTTATTTTTTTTAAGATAAACAAGAAAGTATTGGATCTGGTTCACCATCAACACATCTCCTCTGTTGAGCTTGCACACCAAAGCAAGCAGTTAAAACACCACCTTTAAAAGTTAGTTACTATAACTTTGAATACACATAAATAACATAACAAGTAGGCAGCAATTTTACATTGGAGTAGTAGATGTTAGAGGAAAGTCTCTTTTCAGCACAACTTTTGAAGTACCTAGGACTTAGTGGTGCTGTCTTTCACTTGTATTTCACTCTGCCCTTTGCTGTATACTTGTAGCACATTCACATTACTGAACTCCGTGAAAAAATATTTTCAGGGACAAAAGTTTTCAGGGCTTGGGAAGAGAAAATTAGACCATTGATTCAGTTTTATTCTTTAATAAACAAAGTGTATTTTAGCACCTACATTTCCAACTTTGGAACAATTATCTTATGGTAAAGAATGTTATGTCCAAACCAATGGGCCAAGTGCCAAAGTTGATTTTGATTTGAAACAGGTTGGGAATCTCTGCCTGTCTCATACCAGTATTCAAGTGTTTATCAACAAGAGCGGACTGATCCCCCCGCTTTCTTTTTTCATATGGAGTAACATATACTGGTATCTGTAATCATTACCTACTTTTATTGTACTGATATCAGCTTTTCATAATAATTATTATAATCATATTACACACCAGTTGTCTAGAAGAAGGGAAACACCTGTAAACGTAAATTCTCCTTTGATGAAAGACCTGCTAGGTGATGTGTAATGTCTGCAAGACACTGATGTTCTACCCACTCGCATCCAGAAGTCAGCCAATCTCTCGTGCCTAAGTGATTACTCCCAGTAGCAAAT